GTGCCTCTTATAGATGTTGTCTCACCACTCAGATGTGAATGCAGACTGCTTGTGTTAATATTTGGCAGTCTGGGTACATATATTGGTGATGAGGGGTTTGCAGATGATAGCGATGCCAGCAAAATAGTCCAAATTACACGGGAGGTGTTGGAAGCGATTGGCAGTCACTACATTTGAAGAGGGTGCTACTGTCTGTCCCCATAGCGGATATTCAGACCGAAAATAGCACTAAAAAATAAAATGTCAAGATGCATTTTGCTTAAGGTAGTAGTGAGATGAAGAATCGACAATCCAAGATGTCTAGTTTGAGGAATGCAATCTGTGAATTTGAAGGCTTATCAGCGGAAAAACAGTGGTTTATAATGAGGAAGCATTTCACAAGTCTGGAAAGTTATTACAGAGACAGTAACTTTATCCTCTGTGATCAGGAAGCAAAAAGTACGATTTTGCAGTTAAATTATAAAGTAATCTTCCAGAAATGTGCATTTACAAATATTTGATTTGCCTGAGGTTACATTGAGTTCTGGCAAAAGACCAATTTTTTTTACCCCTGTTGTGCCAACATAGTGGTCTAATTGAAGTGAAAGACTGCGGTTTTTGACACAGTGCTGATATCAGTCTGTCAGTCAGGCTATGCTATTAGAAACCTGATAAAACACAGAAAGCTTGCAGTTATACCTGCGTTCTGGGACTATTGCCAACATAGTTATTTCTTTGATAAGGCAGTGTGAATGTTAAGACAAACAGATATACAGTTCTGAATAGTCCATACAAAAAAATATTAAGCTTTTATGGCCAACTGATACAAAACTTTTCCATTAGCATGTCTCTGTTTTACTTCAGTGTAAACTGTTAAAACAATATCATAATGTGTTTGTAAACTGTTAAGTAGCTAAAAAAATAAACTACTGAATGTGAGTTTAATTTTGGCAGTCATATGTGGATTTAATGTGTGTGGGCGTGCTTGGAGTTGGTTTTCCTTTGGGTTCAGGTAGGTGCATCTGTATTTCAATGAGGTAAAGGTTTGGGTCGTTTGTTGAGTTCATATGCACCTGGAGTGGATTCATGTTGTTATAAATATAATATACCAGACTTGACTTTCTGGTGGGTGTGTTGAGTAGGTTGGATTGTGTTGTATAAGTATAGGAGCGCTAGAACTTTGGTGTGGGTTCAGTTGGATGTCATGTCAGCTTAGATGAGTTTGAATTAAGTGTGGATGGGTTTGGGCAGATCTGAGGTTGATTCATGCAAATACTCCTATTGCATACAGGCTTGTTTTTTTTTGTTGACAGCTTTGTGATGAATTTGGGTCAGACATTATAACCCATGTCAAGGACACCTCCGTCTCTTTCTTTCTTTCCTTCTGTTTCTCTTCATGCAATCCCACTGTCTCTGCAGCAGGAAGGAGTCGGCACACACCTGTGTTTGTGTGTGTGCATGAGCATGCATGTATCTTGCAGGCTTATCCTTTTCGCAGTGCAGATACCAGCTCATCAGCTTGAGTCTCAGTGTTACCTGGAGAGAGCGCTCACCCTCCAAAAGACACGGAGTACAGAGAGTACAGTTAGCTCAACACATAATAGATGACCTTGGAGATTTCCTTCAATAAAAAGCACCAAGTGAAGAATTGTCTCTATCAACAGTATCTCTCTCTTAGCTCCCTTACTGCAGTGTGACCGGGCACTCTAGAGAAACTGACACAAGCAGGCACTGGTGTGTGTGTGTGTGTGTGTGTGTGTTGTGTACTCATTCTACTGAATGAACTTCAATGCTATGTAAAAATAAAGAAAAAAAATGACTGAATTTGTGTTGACTGTTCTAGTTTTGAGTGTTGCCTCACCTGACCTCTTCTCTCTTTGTGTTTGTGTGTGTGTGTGTGTGTCCTCTGGTCCGCCCCATGAGAGCAAACTGAGTTATATCTGCAGCATCAATCCATCATGCTCATTAGCATATGATTTGGCTTTGATTAGCATATCTATTAATATGGAAATGCGACATCACCAACACTGAGCCCAAATGGGTCAGTGCTGTACACACACACTCCCTCACACATACACACACAGAGAAAGAAATGCTCGACTTTCTCTCCAGAGATTGTGCAGGAGTTTAAGGTTGCGCTAAGCAGACATGATTACGATGTAAATTTGTCAGAGGGCTGAAGATGTGTGTGTGTGTCTTAGTTTGTGTGTCCCTGTTTCACACTGACCTGTGTGTGCCTGTGTGTGTGTGTGTGTGTGTTGCCTTTTCAGAAGACCAAATTCAATGACCAATAATAACTTAAGAGACCATTCCCTTTAACGCCTCACCAAGATTACACAATGACTTTCCTTACAAAAGGTTTACATGGATGTTTCAGTCATTAAATACATCGACTGTAGGCTTAATATTTGCTTTACACATTTGCTTTTACACTCCATGAGGCAAGTGTTGAACACACACGTATGTTACAAATGTACTGTACTGTTCATGTACTGTGCATATAGCATGTTTTAAAATATTTCTTTTAACAGTTAACTTGAATTTGGTGGTTTTACTCTGCCCAAACAATGCTCTAGAACAATGAGCTTTACACCGCGTGAGATATACAACCTCAGTGAACATGAGCACATAAAAGAAACAACCCCTTGAAACTGCACCTAATGGTACTGCTGAATGAGACTGGGGAGGTGAGGGAGTCAAATTGCAAGCAGCGGGTAGTTCAGGAACATTAAGAAGCAGTGTGAGTGTTGGAGTAAGCAGAATTAATGAGCACAAGCCTGCTTCTAGTGACTGTATAGATGAATTATTGGACACGGAACATGTGACAATAAAACGTCTTCTTTGTCTTCCTAAACTACAGCGATGCTCCATAATTGTCAAACACACTTAATAATCCGTCACAGAGCTTCCCAGTTATAGACTGTTTAAAATCAAGATGTGCTCACAGCCACAGGGCAGAAAACACATTGGCACAATGTCATTATAGCTCATATTTGGGCTTTTTCAACATTTATGAAATATTGCAACTTGCTGCCTAACTAAATGTGTATGGAGCCCCCATCCTCACATTTCCACACCTGTTCATGCCAGTCTGATAAACAACTCTAGCTAGCTAATGGGACAAATTGCAGTGTGGAATGGCAGCTAGTAGCAGTGATAGAACTGGACCACAATAATAATAAATGTCTTGTTGCAGTCGGTGAGAAATGAGCTGATCTCTTCAGTGTCCACAAATGAGCAGCACAGATTAAGAGTACAGATGTCCCCTCACCCTCAATACTGGTGGACTGGGTTGCCAGCACAATATGTCAGACACTCTGCATGTTTTACATGTCTAGTGCTCATAAGGTTAGATGTCTCACTTAAATTAAACTGCATCAATACTGGATTTAATAAATTCAGTGATTTATTTGATGCTGGGGAACATGAAAAGGGACTACCTTGCTTTTCCGGTCCTAAATCCTACACACTGGTCCTTTAATTAACAGCTGAAACTCTAAATGGCAAGAAATAAACATATAGTGATCAGCAAAGCTTTTTTTAATAGCTGGAGCTTGACATCTGCACTTCTCATTAAAAACAAGCAGTAACTGAGTCAGCTGTGGTAACTTAAACCAGGTGTTTATTCCTGACTTTATTAAAATCCAGAGCTGTGACCAGACCATCCAATGCATACAGCTAATTATGTACTCTGCTAGATGAGTGTTTACTTTTTGCATTTATTTAGTAATACTAAAAGTAAATACAAGACTTCGAGCGCCCAGCCTTGACATGACACAATTAAAGTTGTTGAGGATAAAAAAACACAATAAAGCTAAAAGCTTATTTCCATTGTTGTCCTCATTAGAAAAGGGTAAGATGACAGATCTTCAAGTCACCCATCCATTACTTTTGTGGGTTATTCTGTGTATTGCACAAATCCTCATCATGTTGCTGTCTTTATAAGCTTGCTGTCATTCTGTTTTCAATTCTGGTTCATTGTCTGTGAGCAGAAATCATTCAGAAATCTGTCCATATACTAATCTTACAGAATGTAATAAATGAAACATAATAATTGGCTAAATTAAAGTGCAAAGATAAGACATTTAGTTGGCTGTGTTACTACTAAAAGAATCATAGAGCTAAGCTAAATTGGAAAAAGAAAGCTTTCTTTCTTTATTTCTGTTATTACTCAGCTCAGGATGTTTTTGATTAATTGAATTAAGAGTTTGGTATAAAATTTAGTTGTGTGACTTACATCCTTAAATTCTCACAGGTGAACCAACACCAAACATTGTCCTAATGGAGGAAAAAAAGTTTATTTTAAATTATTTTAAATCTTAAATAAATAACTGAAACTTTTAATGTGTTGCAAGGATTAATTGAAATGAAACCAAAGTGAGGAGAGAAAGAAGCTAAAGGGATGCTAACGTTTGTGTGGGTGTATTTGACAAAGAGAGACAGTCAGAATGTGTGTTTCACAGAGGGAGTCTCACTAGACCAGTTGTTGTAAGTGATGATTGTTATGCTGCTGGTTTGAAAAGCTGCCAAGAAGAACAAGAGAGGAAAGGCTACACAAACACACTTCTCCTTGTGTGTACTCGAGATGTTGTTATGGATGTGAACCACTGAGGACTGAAATCTAACACCTGAACTTCTCCTCTGCCCTCCTCTCCTCTCTCCTCTGCCCTCCTCCCCTCTCCTCTTCTCTCCTCTCAGTTAAATGAAACAGCCAAGCAGTTGATGGAGATCGACAAACCCACGCCAACTAACGTTCCAGGTCCGAGCTCTGAACCAGCCCCATTGGGGCCCTGCGTTCCTGGCCCCTGCGCTCCTGGCCCCTCCCCCTGCGCCTCCCCGTCCAATGGAAATGGCTCTGGCCATCGGAGAGGTGAAGGGAAGAAAAACGCCAAGAAGAGGCATTCGTTCTCTGCGCTGTCTGTCAGCCAGAGGGCCGCCCAGCTCAACAACAGACACAGTATGGAGATCTCCCACCCGGTCCTCATCAGCTCCTCTGACCCCAGAGCCGCTGCACGCATCCAGGTACACAAACAAACATATATACACACTGCAGTGCTATGATGAACCACATATAGTAGCCCAGAATGGACAAACCAAACATTGACTGTAGATAGAGCTGTTCGCGTTTTTGTGAGATTCCCAGCCACTAAATCCTACACATTGATCCTACTCAAGTACAGTTATGGTGGGGATGGATCTAATTTGCTAACTAAGTAACTTGAATCCTTAACAACGTATCATATTTAATAAACTGATCACTGTTTTGTGTATAAAATCTAAATCTGAAAAGCATATATTGAAAATACTCAATGCTTCTACCTCAGATGTGTAGTAGAAAATTAAATGTACTTTTCATTTACTCATTTAATTTCATTTTTCATTAGAATTAAATGTGGTTTATATTAACCTATTAAACCACTTCTGATATGCTGATAATGATGCACATAAAATATATTCAATATAAAAATATTGAAATGCTTTTTTAACTTGATAAGAACAAATAGTGAATATTTGTTTTGTATTGTATTTTTAATTTACAATGAACAACAACAACAATGAATTTTGGGACAAAATATTGCACACCTGCAGTTTTTAGTCAAAAACTATTGATATTGGTATCACCTATACCTCGACCGATATCGGGTTTTTGAGACCAAATCAATATTTTTGATTACAATATATTGGCCAATTATCTTTCTGCTTCCCACAGACTGAGCCAGATATTTGGGAGTTAGGTAAAACTTAAAATAAAACAAAATGCAGAGAAACTAATATAATGGTGTCACTGTTTCTAAGCAACCTCAAACATGTCTTTGACATTTTGTACTGCAATGCATGTTACATCAGCCAACATATATGCTGATGCAGATATACAGTATCTGCAATCCCTGCTGATTTCTTGGACGGGCTCTAAGTATTCACAGTACACACATTCACAAACCAGTTCACTCTGTTCACTTCGTTCCACTAGATTTTATTAACTAATTCCCCAATCGCCTACTCTGTCATTTCCATGTGAATAAAATCATTCCTCTTTTTGATAGCTGTAGACTGGAGACACATTGCTTTTACATTTATTGCCTCTGGTTGCATTCACACCTGGGTTAAATGTGTTTTTGAATAACCCAGGATACCAACATACTACAAGTAATATTTCATTTTAAATAGAAACCACTCAGTTTCAATATGTGTATCTTTCTGTGTCTTTAGGATGCATCTCACCCAGGTCCCTCTCCCTCCTCGGCAGGGGTACTGGTGCCCCCAAAAGTGGCATCCATAACCTCTGAGCTGCTGGCCCATGCCAAGGTGCAGCTGCCACTCAACATGTGAGTACACCTCAGGGTGCTGTCAGCTCGCCCACCTGCGACCTGGTCCCTCCTTCCATCCCCTCGCTCTGTTTTTCAACAGAGTGGATATGTGCCTGAGATCCGAGCATGATTTCAGAACCCGCCTCCTGGCAGCGTTAAAAATATTTCCTCTTTTGTGCCCAGAGTTATTGGCCACGTTCCACCACCTCTGCAACCACATTTACTCCTCCACTGGTCAAGGATGAAATCCCCCTCAGAAAGGAAAAATACAGTCAAACAGTATTCCCTCAGTTGTGTGATACTTACATCAGTGTTTCATAACAAGGCTTTAACAGCACAGCAGTGGCTTATACTGTACTATGTATTTTATTGTACAACAAACAATAAGGTGCTTAGTCCTTACTTAAAAATGAAGTGCTGGATATACATTTAGTTCAGAATATGTGCAGCTTTCATGCGTTTAAGGGAATTTCTGCTTTATTTTATAGTGGACAGACAGTTTATGGGTGCGAGAAAGAGAGAGATGGGGATGTTATGTGATTACAGGATCAGCATCTTAAACCCCCTAGGCTTCCCAAAAACTCTGGCAGGTGGCTTTTTAAAATTATTTGTCTGTTTAAATTTGCCAAAACGTTCTACATACAGATATTACAGTAAGCGGGTAGAATAACTCATTACGAATACATAAGACAAACAAAGTAGGACTATACAGGCTGCAGCTGGAAGTTTGCATTGGACTTAAATTACTTCACAGGTTGAGCATTTCTTGAATGGATTAAGAGCCAAAAACCAGCAGACACACACTCACAAACACAATTAAACTCTTGTGGAATTGTAACCTCACTAGTCACATCCAGATGGCCGGTGAGACGCCAGCGCTGAGCAAGACTGTTCTATAATTTACCTCGTAATTAATCTACCAGGTAACTGCCAGAAAGATATGGGTTCTTCAAGGTGAGTGTGTGTTTGTGCTCTTGTACTACATTGTGCACACCAGTCTAAGTTCTAGACCTTGAGAGTGAGGACATTTTGGGATATTTTTGGAAAGTGAGAATATTTGGTTAGTCTAAACTCAGGGAATGCATCATGACAATGACGGTCCTCACAAGTATTGAAGTACAAATGTCTGTGTGTTTGTGTGTTGTGTGTGT